TTCGAGAAGGCCGTACGCAAAGAGCAAGGGGCACTGGACGCCGCCGTAGAACAACAGACCGTGAAGATCGCCGCCTAAGATTATTGGCCTTAAGGGACCGTTTCTCCACTACCAGGTCCATTGCAAATGAATGGTTTGCAGAACACGGAAGACCTATTGGCATGCGAAGTGTTTACCGACGAATGAGAAGTTTTGGCTTGTTTTCATACCGGCCACACTGGGTCCTCCCTTTAACTCGAGAACACCGACGTAATCGCCTTGAATGGTGCAGACAACGGTCACTCTGGGATCAGGAATGGAACAGTATTGTCTTTAGTGACGAGTCTGGATTTTGTTTAGGCATGCACGATGGTCGTGCCAGGGCTAGAAGGCGACGTGGTGAAAGGAGGAATCCACAGTTTTTTGTTGAAAGACATGTTCATCACACTGTTGGAGTTATGGTTTGGGGTGCTATAGCTTATGGTTCCAGGTTACCTTTAATCTTCATCAGAGGTAACATGAGCGCGCAGCGTTATATCCACGAGTTCTAGAACCCCATCTTTTACCCTATCTTGACACCCTGGCAGATCCAACTTTCCAACAAGATAATGCCCGACCACATGTTGCAAGAGTCACAATAGACTTCTTTCAACATAATGATGTCTCATTGTTACGATGGCCACCAAGATCTCCCGACTTATCCCCAATTGAGCACGTGTGGGATATGATGGGTAGGAGATTGCTCAATTTGCAACGTCTTCCTCAGACTCTAGAAGCACTTCGAGAGGAGTTGGTGGTTGGCTGGAATGAGATACCACAGGAGGACATTGACCACCTGATCAGAAGCATGCCTAGGCGCGTTGGAGAATGAGTAGCACATCAGGGTGCATCCACACATTATTAAAGGTCAAAGGGCTTTAAAGCAGTGCAATCATTTTGAAATTTTTATCATTTACTTATTATGCTTCATTAAGTACTTATACAAAATTTTATTAAAATAAAACCATTTAAACTGGGTGTTCGGATTTATATGTCACTTAGTATATATTTAATACGATATTTTTTAAGGGCATAGTTCTATATTACAATATTTACAATATGCATACTGGTCGCTCTTTCAAACTCCTTTGCAAGCATCCTGGAAACTTCTTTTTCCCTTCTTGCTTCTAGGATATTGTGAATATTCTCTGTTTTACCCCTGATCACCTCATATTTTAATAGAACATTCCTTTTGAAGACATACAGGTTTCGGTCTCTTTATTGCATGTCCGGTGATGTGGTAATGACGATCATATACCAGTCTGTACCTTTTGCAATGATATAAACATGAACAGACGATCAACGATAGTAAAAAAACCATGAACTTTATTCAAAAACCAAACATTTTTTAAAATTCTGAACGAATTATACGCAATTTCTTAATATTCACTAAGCTGATGATGTTTCAATGACCGGCTGCCATCCCTTACTTTGACAATATTTTGTTTTCAACATTTCGCGCTATAGGTTACTAAAATTTGTCGAATGGATCTTGAAGCTCATTCACTATATTTAAAATAACGGCTTGTCATGAAAAATACCCTAAATGCTGTACTGTTTCCTCTACTATTGACTGGAGTATATACTTCAAATAGCGAGGAACAAATAAATACAAACGTAAGTATCGTCTCAGCAATACGCACTCTGTAAAGAATGTCTTATCATCTGCATGTGGCTCGAGAGAGAGAGAATACAACAAAGGATTCGATCTGCTGAGTGGAAACCATTTAAGACTAAAAATCGAAGTAATTAAAAGATACAATTGCAAAGATGCAGAAAGTGAAATAGTAATAATTCGAATAATAATTCGAACCTATTTCACAGCCAGTTCCAGCTAACTGCGGACTTGAAGAGCGGCATAAACACAGCGGCGTGGTTAGTAATAGACTAAGAAGGTAACATATCATTGGCTGTTTATTAAATTGTCGGTGCGGTTCATCAAACTAACGATAAATTATTACTACAAAAAAATTAACAGAAAAGAAAACTGAAGGGATTACCAGTTGCTTTGACGACCCAGTCAGGTAGAGTCCAAGTTATAGTAAAAAGAAAAACTTCAATTAAGATAACGAAATATGTAAAATGGAATAAACACCTGCTTGTACTTAGAACCAAGGATTCGCAGACGACGAGGAAAGGAACTAAAAGAAATTCCGTTAAAAAAAACCTGTAGTTTCAATTAGATTTTATAATTATTTTAAGTGTGAGGCACCTCTGGGGAGCCCACGCGGGATTAATTAATTCTGCATGTCAACACTGATCTGAAAATTCATCTTGAATAGCCAGTAGACTTCTGAAACTAATCCCTTGATTGTCTCGTTGATTCGTCTGCTAGTTTTTCTGCCAGATAAATAAAAGAAGAATTGTTTTACATCAAAGATTCATCTGCTTTGGCAGCCTTTTTCCAGTAGACCACTCTGGTTCTCAATCTCCAGCTTCTACCAACAGAACACCCATAAAGACTTTTAGTTAATCTTTAAATAATGGAAATCTGCTACCAACTTCGGTAGTCCTTCTGTTTCAAATAATTGCCGTTTTCATTTCAGGTTACATCCTCTTGAGGTTCCACATGAAGCGAATGCCAAGTCGTATACGAACACATAAACAAAACGCATATCTGCTTAATATCCAATTGCTCACAAACCTACAGGTGCTCGACAACAGGAAACGGACTATTATTCGAATTAATATAAATGATGAATCGAAAGCAATTTACATTTCAGGCGGCAATATCGTTAATAGTCGGTTATTAGAAACGCATCGAATTACCCATTTGCAGTATGTTACGCATGATAAGATCAACACGGTAAGCATGAACATTCACTTCTCTCTTTAATACACCAGCATCAACACCCGATCGTATTGGGCATGTCAGCTGCTGGTATTTACTTCTTTTCATGCTGCTCCGTTATCTGATCACCAAATGACACTTTATAAGTATATTACTTTCTTCAGACACATGGTGTAATGACAAGCAATAATGTAGGAGACGCTGGTTACCCAAAATCGCGACTGTATGAGAATGACCTACAAGGGTGGTCCGAGAAGTACCCGGCCTGACCTAGAGATGGCGATAGTTGTTTGAAAAATATCATTGCATTAGAAAGTACGCAACATATAAAGCATATGTGTCAAGTTTGAAGACGCCACGTTATTTAGTATTTGTTTGGCAGCCATCAATACTGAACATTTTCAGTGAATTTGTGAAAATGGAGAAAATTGGTCATCGTTATGTGGTACAATACTATTATTTCAAAGGCTTCAGTCCAACCAATATAAAAGCTGAACTTAACTTTGGTTAAAAAGGAAGTGTTGTTTCATCAAGACAATGCACCAGCTCACAAATCCGTCATTGCAATGACCAAAATTAACGAATTAAAGTTTGAATTGCTACCTCATGCACCCTATTTACCAGATTCAGCCCCCTCGGATTATTTTCTGTTACCAAACTTGAAAATATGGCTCAGTGGTCAAAGATTTTCCAACGATGAAGACGTAATGTCGGCAGTTAATGGCTATTTTGAGGAGCAAGACAGTTCTTATTATAAAACGGGTATCGAACTTATTTAACATCGCTGGGAAAAATGCATAGAGCTGAAAGGAGATTATGTTGAAAAATAAATACATTTTTTTACAAAAATTTTGTGTTTTTTTCGTTGGGTCGGGTACTTCTGTGAACCACCCTTATTTCATTATGCGTAAAAACAACAGATCCGACTCAATTATGATACCGTAGAAGTGAGAAATATGAGCAGTATACTGACCTAATGGCGAAATCTAAGCAGGCTATATTTATGGCCAGGCCAAGTAGCTCAGCTATATCAGATAAGTCTTGACTATATCTTTAAACGGATATTTCGGAGTTTTACTAGACACGTAGTTGTTTCTTAGTCAGATCAAGGAGATCAGATGAAAAAATATTAGGTATTATTAATAAGTAAACAAGTAATTTAAGAATTTGCAGTTAGATGATTTCGCCAAGTAACAAAACTCCCCAATCAAACAAAAATGTGAAAATTTGCTTGGATCATTCTGGATTTACTCATTAGCACCCCAGAAACAGCAAAGCTCACAGGCTCTGATTGTAAAATGTTTTCAGCACGCATAAGGAGGAGGAGGAGGACAAGGGGGCTGAAACGGAGGAGGAGAAGGAGGAGGAGGAGGAGGAGGAGGAGGAGGAGGAGGAGGAGGAGGAGGAGGAGGAGGAGGAATAGGAGGAGGAATAGGAGGAAGAGGAGGATGCGAAGGATGAGAAGGAGGAAGAGGAGGAAGAAGAGGAAGAAGAGGAGGAAGAAGAGGAGGAAGAAGAGGAGGAAGAAGAGGAGGAAGAAGAGGAGGGAGAAGAGGAGGAAGAAGAGGAGGAGGAAGAGAAGGATGGGAGCAGAAGGAGGAGGATAAGGATGATGAGGAGGAGGGGGGCAGAAGGAGGGGGTAGGAGGAGGAGGATAATGGGGAGGAGGAGGAAGATAATGAGAAGAAGGAGGATGATAATGAGGAGGAGGAGTAGCAGGGTTGTCATAGCCCATTTACTGGAACTTACGTACCTTCGGTCATCTCAATGCATTGGTATTTGAGCTACTCAGAAAACTTGCTTATTGTCCCCTGACGTCTACGATCTGTCAAGTCCCAACTTTGAAAACACCCTGTATTTTCGTAGGATCAATTCCTTTACGATCGGATTATTGGCACGCATTTAGACATGCATTAAGGTAATATGCTTACATCAACCTGTCGAAGATACTAGACACTCCTGTTCGCCTTCACCGTAGCATCAACTTTTTTCGTACAAATCCACAATAGACACACATTTTATTGCACCGCACGTTATGGTATAGGCAATAAAGAAGTGGAAAGGAATACCTGACATTTCAAGCCGATCTTTATGCTCTCATAAATTCCGATTTTACGAGTGTATTTGTAAGGCGGGTATAAAAAAATTATAATCATTTTACGAGATCCATACATTGTGTAAGTTCACTGCCAAGATAGTAAAAATGTTCGTATGGGGTTAAACTCCAGGTAGTCAATACTGATGGTAGATATAATGAGGCGACCGGCTGTCATAATTTCACAAAGTTGCTGACTATATTTGAACATAGTACTCACAAGTTTTTCCGAGAGGGAAGTAGCTAAGGTACTGAAGAAAATGAAGAATAAATTTGCATGTGGGTCAGATGGCATCCCATCATTTTTAGTTCATGACTGTGCTTCTGTCATCTCTCAACATCTGACATCGAGATTTAACCTATGCTTAAAGACTAGTACATTTCCTGACATTTGGCGTAAATCAAAGGTAAGTCCTGTTTTCATGTATTAGAGTACTTGATGAAAATTATAGACCAATAACGTCATTCTGTCACTTTTCTAAAGTATGTGAAATTTTGCTTCATAATTTATTATTTCATAACGTTCAGTCCGATATGAGAACCTCTCAAAATGGCTTTATCATAGTCAGATATACGAGCATTACAACCAATTTGGTCATCGGACAAGTAGATGTCATTTTAGTAAGGCCTTTGACAAACTTGATCACATCTTAGTAAAAAAATTGGACAATGTTGAACTATCCCCTAGCTTCCTGTCACTATTTGTCAGGCAGGAGGCAATATAGTGAGCACGAACGAAGGAAATCTAAGGATATCTTTCAAACTCAGGTGTGCCTCAGGGCGCCGCTGCTTTTCATTATTTGTCTTAATGACATAGTTAATAATACCGATAATTGCCGTTTATGCAGATGACTAGAAGGTTTATTACGTTGTCGAAAGCAGCGCGGATTTTGCACGACAGCAGGGCGACATCGGCAAGGTATTAAAATGGTTAAATACTCCCAATCCACATCAGTGAAGTCAATTTTGGCCAAAGTAAATCCTGCCGCCAGTGCACCATACGCCGTACTGATAATGATACCTTGTATTATCCTCCTCGTATTTCACACTTTCCTGAGAAGTACATATTTTGGATGTATATAGACTCAATATATGATTGCGTTTTATTGTTTATATGTAAGTCAAAGGAGTAATATGTAATAATCTATGTACAATAAAGGTTTCAAATGGAATTGATTGATATGATATTTAGGTATTCCATAAGAGCATTGCAATACTTAACGACATGATATCCCAGATAAACCAGACCTCATAAAGAAGGCAAACAAGAGGATGCAAGAGGATCGCATCGCCTTTAACATGCTGACCATAATAATAATTTATCGCGTATATAATTACAGTTGTTGACTTAACGAGTCGTTTTGCATTCAGCGCGCTCATCATCGACCGTTTAGCTTCTGGCTTTTGTGTTAACAGTAGGAGCGCATCTTTTCTCCTCTTCAGCATATATATTCAGGTGAAGCACCATGCTAAATATCCACTTCGATTTATACAAAGATGCCTTTGTGCCCGGTACAAGTGGCCAGTGATTAACACGCTAAGTAAAATGCAATGCGGAAGTGGCACTTAGCAAGACAACTTTTGACGTGGCAGAATAGAGGGTGACTTCCATGGAATATGCACATTTCAAGTTATAGATCCGCGTGCCGTAAGTAGGAAGCAGAACAGCGGAGTTTTTCGTTAGCTTTTATTATTTTTGGCACACATTTATTATAACATTAAGATTTCAACATACTGTTGGGTCGCTAAGAAAAAAAGAAATAATGCGTGTGAAATTATACTATCTGAATTTTCGATCTCAATAGATCAATAACGAATCAATCATAAAATTAGGGAAAAAAAAAAATAATTGAAAAGCGGTAGGCCTAAGAACCTGTACTATATCATTAATAAAGATAAATTCAAATTACTGTTAAGTGATCAAAATAGTAGAAAACAAATTATGCGATTTTGACACGTTACAACATATCAGACTATACAGGGTGTTTCACAACTTATCCGACAAAGTTTAACCACATATGCACTGTTACAAAAGAAGTCGATTTCTCAAAAAAAAAAAAATGTGATAAGAGTCCTACAGAAATAGAGATAATAAAATAATACAGCTGATCAGTTCACTTACTTATGAAAGCTGTTTGTGCAGAAACGACATGGTACATCTTCATGAAGAAATTCCAAATACTGTTGGCCATTCATTCGATCTGGCCATATGAACGATCCAATTAGACGTTCATCGACAATACCTGCGCACAAGTTTAAAGAAAAACGATGTTGGAAGTGTGTCTGCACCACTGCGTGAGGATTCTCAAAAGACCAAACGTGTGTATTATGAAGATTGGTTATCCCATTACGAGTAAAAATAGCCAAAACATCAGCTGTAAAACGGGCATTTCGAGCATTTTCTTGCAACAACCACTCCCAAGATCTTACTTTTAGGGGGTAGTCTGTAGATAGCAACACCTGGCCTCTCTGGAGGTGATAAGGGTACGGTTGGGCCTGCCTGCCTTGTGCTTATTCTCGGATTTTATTCCACAATATCCAAAATTTCGCCTTTTGCATTTAAAACGCGTTGTGGGCGAACCAGATCCCCATCCACTCCACGTATCTAAATGTTTCGTGATGTGGTATGTGCCTATTCGGAAATAGGTGTGCATACGAACGAAAAGCCGCTCGCGAATTTTGCCCTTCTTCTCCGTACACTAAAACAGCACATGTGCCATTTTTATTAATAAACAACTAAAAACATAAACTTGCAAAATTCGTTCTTATTTACCTTAAAAAAATCGATCGCTCGTCATTCAGATTAACAAAACAAAAAACTCCTGGTATTTTGTTTTCGGCAGTTGTTTGGTACAACATTTGCTACAATAAATTATTAATGCTTATTCTAATATCACGACGATGAACGCAAAATACATATATTTATTTTTCAAGTTATTATTGAAACCCAGGTTTGTAATTTAATTTCTGTAGGACTTATTTTTCAGAAATCACCTTCTTTCGTAACAGTGCATATGTGGTTAAGATTTGTCGGATAAGTTGTGACATAACCTGTATGAAATAAACCAAGAATAGCGAAAAGATCAAATATTCAATAAAGATGTGAGTAAATACTAGTAAGTATGACGAGTCTATGATTACTAGATGATGTATTGCCTCCTCTATGATATATACTTTAGCTTTTCTGCAGCTGAGGCTGAGCCGGCTATCATCATCAGGTCCAGAAGTCTACCACGGGCTAGAACAGTTAATTTAACAACAAAATCGCCATTGACTGATTAACCATGCGGTGCCTGCAGACTTGCAGCCAGCAGTTTGTCTGCCAATTGAGTTGCACAGAAGCGGAATGCGTTTATAAATTGAAATTTAATTTCCATCTGTTGACGATGTGAACTTTATTATCCGCGTGAAGAGCGATAACGTTATGAAACTTTATGCTCAGACAGTCAGGATTAGTTAACTACGAAATTGATGATAACTATGTACAGCATTGGAAAGGAATATTCGTGCTAGATACAATTGCAAACCATTTTACTTCCCTCGCCTACTGGCGAGGAAGTACTGTGATCGTGAAGATGAGATACCGTTTTTTAGATCTTACATGACATATGTACATCATAACTTGGAAAGCACCGGTCTGATTCAGATGAAATTTTCACGCAAGGTTACTACTATGCCAAAAATAACAAAGCTTTATATTTATTGAGAATCGGTCCTGTGTTTTCGAGATATTGCCAATTTAAGCTTTTTCAAAAAATCCCCTACTATTTGCTCCTGTTTTGCCTGTTACGACTATAAAGAACTTCTAAACTATGTTCTATCCTGGGCTACCAGCGATAGTTGCTTGAAACAACCGAGTATTCATTTCACTGAAAACTAGCACGATATGCTAAATAAATAAATTGCTACATTTTGTTTCATTATGAAAACCTTTGCTAAAGTTTGACTCTAAATACTGTTAAAAAAAAGTAAACAACTGAATCGACTTAAAGTTACTTAGATTTTTTTGCAACATCATCTACCTCTTCTTTTCTAAGATGTGCTTCTTGAGACAAGAAGAGACGTGGTTACAGAATGATGGGTGCCCTGCAAACTATACTAGTGCAGTAAGGGGTACCTTGATGAAACATGCCCTAGAAGATGGATTGAATTTTGTGGTCTCCACACTCTCCAAATTTGAACCCTCTAGATTTTTTTACTGAGGATGTTTAAGAGATAAGGTCTATGGAAAGCCTGGTCGATCGACCGATGAACTGCGTCATTGAATCTGTCAAGCAGCACGCAAAATATCCGATTTAAGTTTGAGAGGTTTAAAAGGATAATTTTTAAGAAGATGCAGGTTATGTATAAGAGTCGGTGGTAGACATTTTGAAAATTTGTTGTGACAACTATAATAATAGTCATTTATTTCAGGCAATATTTGCATTCCTAGATGTTAATTTAATTTTGATTTGGTTAATTTAAGATGCTAGTAATGATTCCTAATTCTTTATTTGATTTCAGTGTTGTAAAAATCAATAGAAGTAAAAAAAATACAGCCTAATGTTATGTTCGTTATTTTGATGCCTGCATACAACAACGAATAAAAAAGATAATGGTTAGCTGTCTTACTCAGTTGCTAAAATGAAAAGTTATTACAGCAACTACAAAGTTGTAATTTGGACACACGAGACAGCTGTGCTTAATATTTTTCGTTCATAGTATTTCGCAAGTATTACGACTTCAATGACGAAACTTGTAATTATTCAGTTTTTGGTAAAAGGAGCCTAAAAATGTTGTACTATTTTTGAAATAGCATTAAGTAGCTAGTTTCTAATGTCATTTGCTGATTCAGTCTGGTACATTATTTTCACAGTAATCAGTCAGATTTTAGTAAAGGTTTTCGCATTGAAACCAAATGCATTTTTTTAGCATACTTCAATGAAATGAATACTCTTGCTTCAACCAATTATTAGTTGTAGCTCAGGAAAAAATTGATAAGTTAGAAGTTCTTAATAGCCAGAACAGGCAAAAAGTAGAGATTATTTGAAAAACTTAAAAGTGGCAATATCTCGAAAACTAGAAAACTTTTACTAAGGTCATGTTGATTTTATCTGACTGATCTGAATCCAGCCTACCTCCCGTATCACCAAAGACTGGCGTGTTATTTTCTGGGTATACTAAACCAATGTATTCGTTCACATACTTTTACAGAAGACAATGAAATAAAAACTGATTCTGAGGTCCACATGACCCTTAGTTAAAGCATGCGTCTGGACATAACATCAACTTAGATCAACTTTATGAAAATTGTACTTACGCAACCGTTCGTGTCACATATTGTCTTCTACGTACCTGAAACAAAACACTAACGTGAATGCTCAGACTACAGAAATACACATGGTAACATCAAATTTTATTTTTACGCAGAAACGAGTGAAACGAAAAAATAGTTGAGTTCAAAATTGATTAATTTGTAAGTCAAAAAATACGCTAGCGACAGAAGAAACCTCAGCACTGTTAATCCGAAAAAAGTGTCTATCAAAACCGGAATATCAGTCAATTCTTCTCCAGATTATTCTCTCCTTACAAAGACTGATTCATTATGGTGACGTTTATCTAGGGCTGTTCCTACACAGATGTATAGAGATGACTAAAAAACAACGTTACCAGATTTTTTTTTAGAAACTGCTTTTTTGTGCATTTCATTGGACATCCTTCAAGCGTAACCTGTTAACAAATGTTGGTACAACTCTGAAATTGTATGGCAAAATCCCACTTTTATACCAAATTGAGCGGGTGATTACTTTTATCCCTGTCACTTCTTCCCTTCGAAAAATCTTGAAACCTCATTTTGCAACAAATTGAAAAAAAAGATTTTTTTCTACTGCTTTTGATTTTTAACATCGTGAATATTTCGTTGACATGGATTTGAAATATGACACCTATTCAATTAATTTGTCAACAATCTATAACACACACGCAAGTTTCCAGCCACTGATCGT